ATGACGTTTGTTCGTGTACTAACAGGTCGCATGGGATGTTGTGGGTACGAAAAATGTTCTTTCGGAGATGGACGCGATGGCAGCGAAGCAGCTAGTCACCGCACGAAGGGCTCGATGCATACATTTTCTGGTAATGGATATGGATCACACGCGGCCGGCGGAAAGGGTGACGGTATCGACGGGGCCTTTGACGCACCGAAACGACCGGTGCCGCGGACGACGAGAACGGAACGCAGCGGTGAGACGAGCGTTGCCAACGGAATGGACCGAAGGGCCGAAGATCCGCAAGGCCTGAGCAACCGAGTGGCGCGGATAGCGAAATGGAATTGGCTGAGAAGCCGACACGCCGGATCGGGACCCGCAGTCCGCGACGACCAACGATCCCTGGATTCGGCCGCACACCAAGTCAAGGTCAACGTTGGCGTTCGGTCCGCCGGCAACTCCGTGACAGAAGGACTGCGGTCGTCGGCATCGCGGTACCACGTGCGAAAAGTCGGGGACGACTTGGCGGTAGAGCCGGAAGAGAGACGGCGGCTGAGCGACAGAGTAGCGCGGATAGCCAAAGACAATTGGCGGAAGAACAACGTGGGCACGAACCATGTCGTCGTTGATTGGTTGGATGTTTGCACCCCGGTAAGAGCTGCACCGATACGGTCATCGTTGCCCTGGTCGTCTGTCCGAGATATCGAGGAGGACCACGGACCAGGCGTTTCGTCTCACGGCTGCAGTACCATGGTTCGCCGTGACAAATCGGTAGAAGAGCCGATAAGGAGACGACAACGGCTTAGCGATAAAATCTGTCGGATAGCGAGGAATAATTGGTTAAATAACAACGAGTTGTTGAATCGGAATTCCGAGCCGAAACCTGCAGTGTCAGGACCGTCTTTGATACCGCGATTAGTCGTCGTCGATACGGTTATGCGGACCGGTGACCAACGCCCCGGAGAAATCTTACGTTCGACTGTAGTCGCAGCCAAGGCGGACGAAGGCGCACCCGAGAAGTGGTCGATGGCCGCAGCAGATGGTACCGAGGAGGCACCGAAAAAGAATGATGGTTTCGACGACAACGCTGTTGCGAGTGAAGCTGAAGTATTAGTAAGCACGGTAGTATTCACTGAGGCCGACGAACCAGCGACGGTTGGGGTCGACGAAGCAGTCGATCAAAGTTCCCGGAGTCGGAGCCGTACCTCTACCTAGATTCCGAAGGGCACGCTGTTCCTGCAATACAGAGTCAACGCCGCTAAACGTGCCTTGGCCACGGTTGTATTGTGCATAGGTCTCGTATATTTGTATATTTTTCATTTTTAATCCTCGCCCAACATTTGACTTCTAATCGAATATTGAAATGAAAGGCCGTCCACCGTTGATATAGATTTAGTCAAATGTCAAGAAAGTCTACCGTTGCTCTGAATTGATCCCTAGAAATTCCCTAGAAGCATTACTGTAGATCAGTACATGCATGTACATATTATATGTTTATTTCTTTTTTAATAATAAACTATTTGTAAAATTATTATTTTATTATTATTATTATTATTATTATTATTATTTATTTACAAATATACAAAATATTACATAAAAATAAACATATTACATAATATAGTGTACAATGTTAATGGGCCTCACTGAGCAAGCTCGTGTGGAGGCCCATGAGTCTTAACAATTTATTTTAAGTTTTAACACATTTGTTATTTAACAGCTATATACTTAAGATAATTTTAAACATAAAAATATAAGTTATTATTGAAATGATGATTATATTAAAAATGAAATATCAGCAGCTTGTTGTAGCAACCAATTTGATAAATTAAGTTTGAATACGACATAATTTGTATAATCACGTAATTCATATGGTAGATTATTATAAATATATGGTTCAATATAAAGAAACGAAGATTGAGTGGTGGATTTATTTACGTAAGGAATACTGATACTATTTAATTTACCTCTGGTGTTAAAATTATGGGAAATAGGTTTGATTTGGTTATTTTTTATTAAGAAAGTAACTGTTATTTTGTAAAAAAGTTTTCTCATATAGGCTTTTGACATGGAACTCATGGTTTTTATGTAAGATAATTCTTAAGATATTATTTTGTGTAATTTGTAATTTATTGAGATTATTTTTGTTTGCTGCACCCCAAGCAATTATGCCGTAAGTCAGTGTTGATTCTACTAATGCTTTATATACTTTTTTAATTTGATTTTCGTTTAAAATAGATCTTAGTTGTTTGAAGGCGTAAGATAATTTTCTTATTTTTGTTGTCAGATTGTTGATATGTTCTATCCATTTTAGGTTATAAGACATTTCTATACCCAAGTATTTGACCTTATAATTAATTTTTAATTTATTATTGCAGGTGCATGAATTTTTAATATTACAGTCAGATGAATGTAATATAACAGGGGTGGCCAAATTGCGGCTCGCGAGCCGCATGCAGCCCTCGTCATAGTCGTATGCGGCTCGCGGTCTTATTTACAAAAACCAAAATATTTAAATTTTTTTGTATACATTTATAAAAAAAAATTTTTATTGCATAGATACGAGGCTATAGTGTACAGATTAATAAACAAAAAAAAATTTATTTATATGAATAATAAATTAAAAAATTAAACATCAAGTTAAATTTGTTTGCGTGGTATTTTTTTCATGTCCACTTTTTTAGTAAGCTTCTTAAGATCTGGTTGAATTGATGTAAGAGTAGTTCTTAGTAATTCTGTGAGATGATCATTAGTGAACTTTTAACGATATTTTGACTTAATTATTTATATATATATATGTTTATCAACTGTTAGCTTTCTTAATTACTTTTGTAGTATAGAAGTACCGATTAGATAATTTGACTCTTAATATAATCTTATTAATACATGTGGCTCGTGTACATAGATATGTTGGCCACCCCTGTAATATAATGTGGTCAATTTTAGGAAAATCTTTTTTGATTAGATAGTGTGGTAAAATAAATGTCTTATCTATATTTAGGAATAAATTATTTTTTAGTAACCAGAAACGTATTTGTTTTATATCATTTTGAATTTTCTGAAAAACTTCTTCCCAAGTGTCACCAGTTTCAATTAGTGCAGTGTCATCTGCATAACAAATAAGTTCTCCCTCTAGTATTAGTGATGTGATGTCATTTATATGTACATTAAAAAGTAGAGGGGATAGTGCTGTGCCTTGAGGTAGCCCGCATGTGATTTATTCGCTAGGGCTTAGAGCCCCATTTATGTTTACAATTTGTGTTCTTTGAGATAAATAGGATTCAATTAACTTTAAGGCCTTATTTTTTATTCCAATGTGTTCTAGTTTTGTTAGTAATATATTATGTTCGACAGTATCAAAGGCTTTAGCTAGGTCTAAATATATCGAAACACATTTTTGTGCTATGGAGGTGAAATGATTATTAAAAATATTGGCTATTTTATATGCATCTTTATTTATATTTAGTGAATAACCATTTTGATTTTTAATGTGAGTTATCATATGTTTTTGTTTTGTACGATTAGAGGCATTATTGATTATTTCCCAACACCGTTTATTATTATTTCCTGCTTCAAGTATTTCTTTATGATAATAGGATGTTTTAGCTTCTCTGATAAGTTTGGTTAATTTATTTCTAAATATTGTATAAAATTGTTTGAGTCTGGTATTATCGGGATGTTTTCGAACCTGAATATGTAGATGATCTCTACGTCTAATTAAAAGTATTATATCTGTATTAGCCCACGGTTTGATTTTGTAAGTTTTAGAGGATACGCTTTGTTTAACAGAGGATTCAATTATTAACGTGTTAATCAACTTTATAAAATTTTCCGTAGCAGTATTTACATCATTTTTGTTAATTACATTTGACCAATCTTGCATGGCTAGTTTGTTTGAGAGTGTATTTTGATCTAATTTATGGATAAATTTTGGATTCGGATTTTTATTACGGTTATTGGAAGTATTTTTTATATTTAAAATTATGGAAAAATGATCAGTGATTGTCGTATGGGCTACATATGTCGTGAAGTGTTTTAGTGAAGGAGTTTTAACTAGTATATGGTCTAAACATGTTTCACCAGTTATTGATTGTCGGGTACTACAATTTATGGTATTAATATAGCCATAGTTTTGAAATAATTGAATGTATTTTGAGCTAACATCATTATGGCTAAGGGTATCTATATTTATATCACCAAGGATTATAGAGTAGAATGAATTTTGGTTTATTGTTCGAGTAAAAATATCATTTTCTAACTCGGTAAGATAGTTGTCTATGTTATCATTTGGTCACCTGTATATAGCATAAATAGTGAGCTTACCAACATCAATTAAAAAGCTAATTTCTAAGCAAGACATTGAGCTACGGTTGAGGTCTGTGACTTGAATATTTTTAATGTCATTTTTAATGAATATAAATACTCCATCATTTTGGTTTTTAGGGCGAGATGTAAAATTATTACTATAACTATGTATCTGAAATTTATTGAAATCAATATCTTGGAGTCCTAGCCATGCCTCTGTTAAAACGATCATATCAAACTTTATATTAATATTGTCTATATGTATACATAATTCTTCGAAATTTTTATTTATACTACGTATGTTTAGCAATAATATGTTTAGAGAGTTTATATTTTTTAAATTTGTATTAATGTTGTTCCATGGTCCACTTAATGTTTCAAAGTCATTGTAGTTGTTACAAATAAGATTAACATTATTAGGGATCATAATATGCTAAGAATAGATAGTTTATAATTAAGTGTTACTGTATTCATAATAATTTGTAGATTAATTATTTTAATCATATTATGATAATACGTTTTAGATATAAAAAGTTGACAATAAGCTGCTGTAACATTAGTTAAACAATATAATATTATGATAGAAGAAGTTACATTGGATAAAGGGGAGTTTAAAATTAGAAAAATGAGAAGTAAATTACATAGGCTATACATTGTTAATTTTGAAAAATAATATATTATAGTTTTTTTCTTTAAGGTTACTAATTTATGGCTAGTTAGTTTAAAGAAGTGTGTGAGATATGAGTGAAAAAATCATTGTCTACCGGTATCACTTTTGATGTATCGTCTTTCCGTATGAATATTCTACCTTCTGAAGTCCATGCATATTTGTAGTTGTTTAATTTTTTATAGTCTCTTGCTTGTTTAAATAGATAGTTTTTTTCCGGGGTTAAACTTTCACGCATGTATATCATTGAATCAGAATTTAGTCCTAGATGTTTGGTGGATAGGTTTCTTTTGACTTTTCTAGCTTTGAGTATGTTAACTTTATCAATATGTCTAGAAAAGTTAATAACTAGTCTATTTGTGTTTTGTTTATTTTTGATTCGGTAGCAGTCATTGATCATATTTTCTTCGATTTTTATATTTAGTTCTTGTCCTACGAGCTTAATTGTTTCAATTATATTTTCGTTTGGAGTTTCTGGTATGCCATCAATAATAATTTCATTTGCTAAGAGTTTCTGTTCTAGGTGAGAAAGTTTTTTTTGTAAAATGGTATTTTGTTTAGCTAAAGCAGTATTTTTAGATATTAAATTAATCAACTTATCATCTAAATTATTAAATCTTACGTTAATATCGAATTTGTGGGCGTTAAGACTATTATTTATGGAATCTAGTAATTCTTTTATGTCTAGCAGTGTTAATTTACCTTCATCTGCTTTGGTATCTAAACGCATACTTTGTCTTTTGGATTTTGTACAATTTTCACATTTCCATTTGATGTCATCTGATTCGAAATATTCTATTTCATCTTTTGTTAAATTGACACATTTCGCATGCCAATGTAGTGAACATATAGCGCATGAAATAGATAAGGCACGCGTGATA